GTGATCCCCCTGTGAGGTACAGACAACTACCTTCCTACCCTTACCCTCTTCCTCCCCACCCCCCAGGACCCACCATTTACTTCAAGCTGTGCCAGGTAGCCCAGAAAACAGCCTGGTTGAGGATTAAGAATCAGGAAGCAGGGGCGAGGCTGTTGAGAAGAGGGACTGCCTCCACAGGCCCTGTTCCCACCCCTGAGCCTTTGCTCAGGTCCCCTCTGCCAAGGATGGCCTCTGGGCACCCACCCCACACCCCAAAGGCCAGCTGGGGCATCTTTCCCTACAAAGGCTCCTGGACCACCTCTGCCCTCACTCCAGACAAAAACCACTCCAGCCTCTTGGCTGCTGGGTCCCCCTGGACACGGCTCGGGGTCCTGATTGTGTCAGGTTGTACTGATCTGCACAAAAGGACGCGCACCTCACTCATCAGGCCGCACCAAGGAAAATCACAAGCAGTCATGGTTCTTTTCTTTCAGGTTGAGAAAGGTCACTCCGGCTGCAGTGGCGGGAGGGGCAGGTGCCACCTGCGTCGTCGCCGTCCATGCAACCTCTTCGGAGGGCAATTTGGCAATAGCCAGGTGAAGTAAAAACGCACATGCCCTTTAACCCAGCACTTCTCAATATTTGTCCTTCCAGAGATGTGCCAAAGAGAGGAGAGCTAGGATTTCCACAGCTCAGAAACAAACTACATGTCCATCAGGAGGGACCTTGAGACCTCATCTCCTCCTTGGCCCTCTGGCCTGTGGGGTGCCTGTCTTGGAGTTGTTTGGGGCCTAGATCAATTCATTTAAACAAGGTGCTATGAGATGCACCCAGCACAGAGTAAGTACAAGTTGTAGCTATTAATATGGGTTTGCTATTGTGAAAAAGAATTGGGTGGGTCTGTACATACTGATATGTAATTATCTCCCTGAAATGCTGGTCAGTGAAAAATGCAGACTGTAAAGTGTGGGGAGAGACGTCTGGTCTGTGCTATGTGGATTGGGCCCTGGCTGGCTTTGTTTCTCGGGCTATTGAATGTACAGCCCATTTCCGGGGAGGGGCAGGAGGAGACTGTGAGACTAGAGTGCGAGAGGATTTGTACACATCCTTCCCTGCAGTTTGCCACGTTTCACCACAGGCCTGCACCATGAATTCAAACAAATGAATCAGTAGTGATATGGCTGTCTGCCTCTCCCACCACACCTCAAGCCCCCTGAGGACAAGTAGTATGTTGGAGCCAAGTCCCAATTCCTGGCACACAGGGGACTTAGCAAATATTGGCTGCTGGGTGAGTTGCTGAAATTCCACCCCACCCCAAGCATCATTCCCAGGAAACTGCCACAGATTGGCCACAAGGCACACAGGAGCAGCCGGGAGGGTCTGGTCTGGGCAGGTTATCGGCCTGGAGGGATAAACCCCAGAGAGGATCCTCCCTGGAAGCAGGACCCGGGCATTTGAGGGTGTCTAGGCCCCCGTCAAGGGAAGGCCCTTGGGCTGCAGCTGTGTGGGTGCTGGAGGTCCCTCTGTGTGGCTGCTCAAGGGACCAAGGACACATCACCATGGCAACAGCCTTGGCAGTGCCAAAGGGCTGCTAGCATGACCTTCACACCTCTGAGGGCTTGAGTTCCAGGCCAGTGCCGGCGAAGGGGCAGGAATGCAGCCCCTTGGCCCACGAAGGAGCCCCCTCTCCAGTAGCTCTTGCTTCCTGCCCAGCCTAGCTTGGTCTGTTCCATCTGAAACCCAGAAGAGGGGGCTTGACTGTGCCTCTCAGCAGAGCCTTGGGGTAGGAAGCACCCCAAAGGGGGAACGGCTGGACTGTCCACCAGGCATTGGGAAAGGGGCAGGGAGGCAAAACTCAGGGTACCGCTGAGGGGAAATACCCTGACGTCACACAAAATGAAGTAGCTTTACATTCACCAGTGGGACTAGGTCTTCAAAACATGCCACAGGAGGTAGAAAAGCCAGCCACGGCAAGAGGGGACGGAGCCCTGCCAGGTTGGGTAAAGAATGATAGAGGCCATCGTGCACAGGTGTGAACTGAGTGCCGAGGTGAAGGCTGAGTGGATGGCACTGAGACAGGAGGCGTGGGGACAGAAAGGGACCGTGTTCGATCCATCGTTGTATCACCTTAAAAGTAAGGTCTTGAGGACCCTCCCTGGTGGCGCAGCGGGTTAGGATGCTTAGGATGCGGCACTGCAAGCTAGTCACAGCTACTTCAGTGCAAGTTCAATCCCCGCCCCGGGGGTGACCCACATGGCATGGCAGACCTCTCTGACCCATGCACTGCTCCCCTCAGCAGTGTTTTTCATTGATCAGCCTGTCTTGCTCCCCACTGTCTCTGGTGAAGCCTCTTACCACCCCTGTACCTCTGGCTTGTACCCCAGTTCTGATTGCATATATCTTTTTTTTTATATATAAAAAAAGTAAGGCCTTGAAGTCCTGTGCTAACTGCACTATCAAAATCATTGAAATTTTAAAGTAAACATCTTTGCTCCATCTCTTTCTCAGCCAGGCTCCCTGTGACCATCCCATCTCCCACCCCTGCCCCCCCTCCCCCAGCCACTGTGATCCAAAGAACCTTTTTTACAGCTGTTTCCATAGCACTCATACCTGCCAGGTGAGGGTTCATCCCTGTGCTGAGTTTGTCTCTGCTCCCCTGGACCTGGTTACACCTCTAGCCTCTGAGATGAATTCAGCCTCTCACCTGTCTTCAGAAAGCACTGGAGTGAAAATGGTCTTGTGTGTTTTAATAGTTAAAAGTAAAATGAGAGACCATGTTCCAGGGAGCAAGAGGGGGCACCCTTTTATTGGAACACTGCCCTGCCCACTTGCTGCTCTAACCTCAGAGAGAGATTACCCTGCGGTCCTTTGCAAACAGAGCCTGCCCATCCCTGGTCTGTGGGTAGGGACTTGGTTGTGTTCCTTCATGTAACCCCACATGCCTAGAGTGGCACCTAGTTGTTCAGCCAATCAGGTTGAATGACTGAGTGGAGGGCAGATGGTGGAGTGTGCTTTGGCCTCCAGGGCACGGATTGGCCCCCTATAGTTTGAGCTCCCAGGTGCTAAACTGATGGATGGTTTCCCCCATCACAGAGGCTCCCCCCAGCCACCCTCACATCCACACCCCCTCCCTCCCTGCGTCCTCCCAGCCAGTAGGCTACAGGGACTGTGCTTTGGTGCCCTCTGGTGGCCTCTGGGAGTAACTCCCTGCAAGCCTTGTGCTACCTTACCCTAGCAGCCATCGCCCCGGAAGGAACAGGCTAGACCTCCTTAACCCATCTGACCATCTCACCCAAAGATCCAGGGACTCACCTGCTGAGGCTCTCTTGGTCCCTTTTGGCTTTCCCCTAGAACCGCGTCTCTGGTGTAGCCTGATGTCACACATTGCCCTCCTTCTAAGCGTCTCCTTAGCATGAGCTGCCAGGGCTCCCAGACTGCCTATTCAGGTCCATGTGCACCCCTCCCTGATAGGGTGGCAAAGTGACCTTGGTCTCCAAAGCCCAGGGATGCGCCAGAGGAACAGGCAGTGGGTGGATGGGTGGTAGGTAGATGGATAGGAAGTGTGTAGATGGGTGAGTGGATGGATGGGTGAGTGGATAGGTAGACTGAAGTGAACTTGGGAGAACTCTGGGTCTTTAGCCAGGGTCACCACCTCTCCTACCAGTCACCCAATCATTCCTAGCTCACCTCATCAATCCTATTTCCAAACATATTCTGGTTCCATCACTTTTCTTCTGTCCCTTGCCTGCTCTCACTTCTCCAGCACCTCGGGATCCCTCATGCTGAGCACACCCAAGCTACAGGGCCTGTAGAAGCTGGTACCAAAACCTCGACATTGCCCCAGAACTCCCAGGGATGGCCCCCTTTCCTCAGACCAAGGGGGGAAGGGGGGTCCAGTCCATTGCTCTTTCTTCATGGCATGTACTACTAACACAAACACTTACTAGCCTACTTGTCTCTCCCACAAGAATGCAGCAAAGGGCCAGGATCTTGTCCTTTCTCTCTTCTATATTCCCAGCACCTAAGAAATCGCTCAACACAAAGGGGGAATAACACCAGTTGGTGGGCAGTGAGGGTAGAGGTGTCACACGGAGGCAGCAGGAAGGCAGGATGGGTGGGTACTTCTCGGTTATGTGCTGTGCGCAACTCCCTCCCTGCTCTGAGCCACTTCAGAATACGAAGTTTCGGAGTAAAATGGTGTTAGAAAATGCGTGCGCGCGCACAAACACACACACACTACCAAGAGCTGCGTTTATTGTAGTGTGTTGTGATTGACCACAAACAGCCTGCGCCTGTCAGGGACCCCAGGGGCTCTCCAGCCTGTCTGGAAGCCACGGTGCTGGGCGCTGGTTCGTGCCTCACACCTGCCCATGGAGGCAGTTCCCAGAGCCCCCAAGAGCAGCGCAGCCAGGCCCTGGTAGGAATGATGGCAGCACAGGGCCAAAGCTCATCCCGTGCCTTTTATTTATTTACAGCATGTTAAAATCTTTCAGTAGTTACCAACAGTTAAAAAAAATGGGTACTTCGCATAAAAATTTGGGTTTCTGGCTTCTCCAGATTTCTGGCATCAGATCTGCATTCCCATATTGCATCAGAGAGCTACTCACTGACAGCTGCCAACTTTAGATGGGGACCTGTGCTTTGCCACTGCCCCCCCCACACCCTACTACTCTCACCTTTATAGTGCAAGTATTTTTCACAAAGTAGTATCTGTGTCCTGCCTTCAGTTAATAGTAAGATGTTAAAATGGCACTTTACTGTATAGGCCTTACAACTGTAAGTTCTGCTTTAATTAATTTATATACCTACCTGAGCCTGAGCGCATGAGAGGATGAGATCCATGAATCCACAAAGCCCTTCTTCCATCCACATAGGAGAGTTCAGGAAGGGCAGCGCAGTCACTCCCCCAACCCCATTCCCCCTTTCATACAGCTAAAAGGAAGAACTGACGCAGCAGCCAGACTGGCAAATCTGAGCCAGGCTGCTCCTTTCAAAATTAGAATAACGCAAGACACATGCACGTCACTGTGAGCTTCATTTATTGTAGCATGTATAAACCACCCATGGCCTGTGCCTGTGAGGGTTCCCAGGACACTGTGTCCTTGCTGAATTCCCCGAAGCACTAGAAAGCAAGGTGGATACACCAGGCACACCAGGTACCGGCTGTACAGGTGAGGATGCTGGAGCAAAGCAGCCAGACCGAGAATGTTGTGCTGGCGCGCCCTCTGGTGGGCATGAGGCAGCTCTGCAGGCCACTGGGGTGATTTTGAAATTGATTCCAAATGAGCCCAGGAGTCACACTGATGGTCATCCAAACTGTATTTTCCCATGCCCATAGAGGCCAACCCCTGGAGACCAGTGATTTCCTTCTAAAAGCTGCCTGCTCGCCATCCCTTCCCTTAGCCATTTTTCTGGGCACCCTGGTACCCACCTCAGTCCCCAGCAAGGCCAGACTCTGCCCAGGCCGTGGTCTTTCAGTGCCACGTCCCTCCTCTCCACCTCATATCCCCATGCCTCACTCCAGGCTTGGCCCACAGAAGCCTTGAGTGCCTGCAGGGAATAACTCTACAGAGGTGTGGGGAGGTCAACTCCCAGTCTAAGGGGGGTCAGGCAGGGCACTTGGGTGAGCAGAAGGGAAGTGCAGGTCCCGGGAGAAGTTGCCACAGAAGAGCCGCCGTGGCCAGATGGCCATTCTTCACGAGAAGCCGGGGACTGGACTTTTTATGTGAAATATGCCAGGTTTTAAAGGTCGGCTCCGATACACCACTCAGACCAAAGCACACTGGCAAGTTGGGTCTGAGCCGGGGCCTCGGGCGGAGAGCTCTGCTGAGGCCCTGCAGCTGCCAGAACCTCCGAGATGGTGGGTGCAAGCCAGCGCTGTTCAGGGTTTTGTTTATTTGAGTAGTTTGTAGCCATCATCATGTTTGATCCTGAGAGGCAAGCAAGGAAGAGAAAATTCTTGGACCCATTTTAGAGTCTGGGGCGGGAAGGCTGACGTGCCTCCTAGCAGGCTCAAGGTCACAGCTAACAGAGAAGAATGCTCTGAGGCTGTAGGAGGCAGTGGCCAGGCAACAATCCCAGAGGCTGCCCCACACAGCCAAGGACAGACAAGTGTGTCCCAGCCTGGGCCACAGTGGCTCCCACTCTACCTGGCCTGCACCCCCTTAGCTGCACCCCTCCTAGGCCCATGGAGAGCCCACCACTCCCCACACCCCCGCCCTCCATGCACACAGCTCTAGGACAGGCTGCCCAGGCAGAGCCGCACAGCTTTCTCCATGGGTGTATAGCACCCCCACACTTGAGCTCCACTTGGGGCTCAGGTCCAAGCAAAAACGCCTCCTGCAGCCTTGCCCATCACAGACACAGTGTGTGGGGCGGGGAGGGGGGTCCCTGGGTAGGCCAGGCAGGGGGCCAGGGCCAGCGTGGCAGCCTCACCAGTTGGCCTTCACCGCTTTGATGTCACTCACGAGGTTCTGGGCCAGGCAGATACCAAAGATCTGTAAGACAGATGGCAGGTGAGGAGAGGCCTCTGGAGGGCAGAAAGGCTGGTACACAAGTAGGGGCAGCCAGCAGTACCTGCAGAAGGGCGATGCCCACAAAGACCCCGGCCACCACGATCAGGTTGTCCTGCAGCCACTTCTCAAACTGGCCCACACAGCCTTTGGTGTGGATGGAGTCCTGCTGTTCCAGCTCCTGGGGACACACCGGCTTGTCACACTGACCTTGTCATCTCAGGCCAGTGTGACAAGCTCACCTCCAATCCCACTCCAGGCCTTCCACTTTGAATACCTGGTTCCTTATTGTGGGGAGCATTGTACAAGATGCCCCTCCTTATAAAGCCTTCCCTGACTTCCCAGCCCCAATCCTATCCACTCCTTTATTTTCTTCCAGGTCTTAGCTGAAATTATCATTTTACTGATCACATTAATTTATCCATGCCTTTCTCCCCCTACTGGGATGGGAACTCCTCAAGAGCTGTCTGCCTGTCTCATTAGCATGAATCCCCAGTGTCTCTGCCAATGCAGAGCACCCAGTGGGAGCTCAACAAAGAGATGGAATGAGCAAACACGCAGGAAACGATGCCCAGGGGCAATACCAAGAGTGCGTGCCTGGATGATTCCCAGGTCTGGGCCCTCCCCTTCGAATGGCTGAGGCCTTCAGGAGCTATGAGAGGATCCCAGCACCCCAGCTACCCTGGCCCAGCCCCCTCACCAGTTTGAGCCGGACATCATAGCCACACTGGGTGTTGAGGACATCTTCCTGGGGACAAACAGAACACAAGCAAGTCAGTGAAGAGCCACCCCACGGGGCTGAGGTGCCTGGCACAGGATCGGGTCTTCCTTCTTGGGGAAGCAGATGGAACCGAGGCTCCTAGTGCAGGACCCCTACTCTGAAACAAGGACTCTTTCCTGGCACCCCTTCCACCAGAAGGCACAGCTGTGAACACAAGCCTGAGCTGCCACCTGCCTCGGAACCCCATGGCTCGTGTTTTTTATAAGAACCGGCAGAACCTGGCCCACGCTGTCCCAGGTGAACTGTGACTGTGAGACACCTCTACACGGAAGGAAGAATTCCCAAACCCCTGGCGTGGTGGCCCAGATCAGAGGCTGGAGGTGGCAGGCTGGCTCCTGACAGACCGGTTTTGCTGGTGAGGTGCAGCCCCCACCCCAACAAGCCTCAGTATTGCCCACAGACACAAACTGCTGGGGGGGACAGGACCTCCCCCACCATGGCCCCAGAGTGAGGCCAAGCTAGCTTACTCAGCTGTTCCCAGACAACCTGGCTGCCCAATGCACGGCCCCTGCCCTCCCCAGCAGGTCCCACATACCGAAGGGTCCCTGATGCAGCAGGAGAAGGGCACCCCGCAGCGCTCCCTGCTCGGGTTCAAGTCAGTGCAGTTGAAATAGATATTGAGGTTCCAGTCGTTGGGCCCTCGGGCTCCACAGCAAGACCACTAGGGGGCAGAAGGAGAACCCTCAGTAAGCCAGGCCCACCCAGACAGAATACTTTTGGGATGGGTCCAAGCTTGCAGGGCTGGGAGGTTTGGCGGCAGCTAAACCAGCAGACACCTCCCCCACATCCTCCAGAGACTGGGGGTGATCACAGTAGCTTTAGGCTCCTGCCCTGGATGATGGGAACAGGGGTACAAGAAAGGGGATCCTGAGCTTGTCATGCCAAGAAAGGCTGGAAAAGGGAAGGAGAGAATCAGGTTGGTAGCGCCCTGCGGAGGGGATGCTAGGCCAACCTGAGGGGGAACACCACTGAACCCCATCTTGATGCCAGGTCTCTGCACACTTGTCCTAGATTTTCCAACGACCTTCTCTGTTCCTCTCTGTAGGCACAAGTTACTCCAGACACCCTCACAATAGTTCCACTCCACTTCTTAAAGGATACTGCCAGCATCTGTATCACTCTGACCCTCCCCAGAACATCAGGGCTGTTCCCGGGGGACTCTGTGGAGCAGGCTGTAGAGAAGCAGGAAGCTCAGGGCCCAGCGGGGGGCCAGGCACACAGCCTTCACAGCCTTCACTCACTGACAGCACAGGCAGCTGAAAAGTCGCCCTTGAGGGGCCAGCTCAGCACAACAGGATGTGGTCAGCTCAGCAGCACAGGGGCTCAGCTGCACAGGGGCTCAGCAGCACAGGGGCGGGCGGGCTGGTGGGCACAGGTGGGAGCGAGCTACGCCTGTGGCTCTGGGTGGACACGGCCAGCCACCGCCACCGCCGCCACCTGCTGCACATCAGTGCTCCCTCTTCAAGACCGCCACCCAGAGGCCTTCTCCTTTCCCATAACAGCTCTTCTCACAACATATAATTTCCCACACACACTTTTCTTTGTTTTGCTTGCTTATCATCCGTCTTTCCTTCCAGTCTGCCATCTACACAAGGACTGGCCCCAGTTTTTGTCACCCTGAACCCCCAGCACCTGGCCCAGGGCCTGTGTCTGTTCAATAAATGAATCATTCCCTGCCTGTACCCTGGGTTGAGGGCTTCACCTCCAGAACTCAGCACAGAAGTGGTCTGAGCAGCACAAAGGCCACGACTGAGTGTGCGTGCAGACTGCAAGGTCTCCTTCTGTCACTAGCCTTTCATACGGTAAGGCCAAATAACAGCAACGAGAGAAGGTAGCCAACAGGCAGCATAAAATACAAGGTGTGGGGACAGCCACATTTGTTGAGGGGCAACAAGCCACCACTGAACCTGCAAAGGGGGCAGCAGCAATGGGTGGTTTAATAGGAGAAAGTGATATTTATGTCAGATATCCTCACTCAAGTATGTTGTAAGCCCTGGCCTAGGAGCTGCTGAGGCTTCTGGTCTGTTTCCTCACCCTGGGCCCCTGCAGCTTCCCCTCAGACAGGGAGACGTCTGGCCCTCTTCCCTGGGACCTGTTGGGCCTGGGTGAGCCAGGGAAAGAGCCTGACACACAGGAAACTGGCTCCCTCCCTTAGGTGCTTGCAGGCATCTCCTGCAGCTAGCCCATGATGGGTGCTGGACTCACGTATTCCTGAGCAAAGTCAATGAGGTTCTGGAGGTCAATGTCATCCCGATAGGCTTTGACGTTGTTGTTGATGAAGAGGTTGAGCTGGTCTCGAATCCAGTCCTTGAAGACAAAGGCCAGGATCCCTGTCGCCAGCTCCAGGAAGAAGATGAGGCCAAGAAACACGGAGAACTAGGGTTGGGGGCACACGGCAGTAGGTGTCAGAGATGCAGGGTCTAAGGGTGTCCCAGAACCAAGCTGCCATCCCTACCCCAACCTAAGATGGCCCAGAGTCCTCATTTCTGTTGTGTTCATGTAATTTCTTCTGATGTAAAAGAGCACCCTTCTTACCTATGTACCACTACCCTGCCTCTGGTGAGCACCCCTTCACATGCACCCTCAATTCTTAGGGTTTGGAGGGAGCCAGCTCCTCCTCTTCCAGATAAAAGGCTGGGCCTGCAGCAGGAGCTCACCAGTCCCAGCCCTATCTCCTCCTCCTCCACTCCCCCCACCACAGGGGTTGGGCCAAAGAAAGCCCATCAGAACTGAGGAGATGTGATCAAGGCAGCAGGCCGAACAGTTGGGAGGGAGCCTCAGTCTTTTCCAATAGTTCCCAGGAGGGCAGTGTGGAGGCAGCACCCAGCTACTCCTGGGCACCCTCCACCCCATGGGGAATGGAGAGACCAGGTCAAGTGATAGTGATGGCCCTGGATCCAAACATGTCTGCAACCTTCATATTCCTGGACTTTTCTTTGGGAGCCAATAAATACCCTTTCAGCTTAGGCCACTGGGTTTGTCATTAACAAAAAGGACACTATAAGTACAGATAACATGAAGCGATGACTACTGCGTTACTAAGCACAGGCTATACGCAAGTGATGCAAGAAGTGGAGGGGAGGTTGGGTTCCCAGCAGACCTATGGGAGGACTTGGGGAGGGGGGGCGGAAGCACTTACAAACTTGAGCAGGAAGGTGTTCTCCCGGAGGGCTCCAATGCAGCCAGCAAAGCCCAGCACTGACATGACCCCTCCGACCACCACAAACAGCCACACTGGGTCCAGACCTCCCAGATCTGTCAGTGCTGAGATGTTGGAGAGAACACCCTGTTGGGGCAGAGCAGCAAAGGCAATTGTGGGTGGAGGACTGACTCTCCTCCTCCAGACCCACAGGCAGCTCCACGCCCACCCCCTTACCTTCTCACCCCAGGCCCAGAGACCAATGGCCAGGAACAGGGCTCCCAGCACCTGCAAGAGCAGCAGCAGAGTTGGGGGCAGGACCATCCTCATGTTCCCCACCCTAGCACAGACTCTCCCCCCAGTAATAAGTTTTCAGGAAGCCAAGGAAAGGAAGGAAGAGGGGAAAGGCTGTAAACGGGATCCTGGTACTTTCCACCATGCAAAGAATACATCTAAGTGCCTCTTCCCCAGGGACATCATCTGAAGGACTGAATCCTCCCCAGTCCCAGAATGGACCTCAGAGATCTCTTTCTAAAATTCAGAAGCAGAACAGAGGGCAGCAGAGACGCTTCCACAGGGCAGCAGCAGCAGCCTGAACCTGTCCTCCCTTGACAGGCCAGTGCTGGGGTTCTGGGCCCTCGCCTCCTCTCCGCCCCTTCCCTAATCTGGTCACCCTCTGCCTACAACTCTGTGACATGCTATCCACCCTTCCCTT